TATATAAAATACAAGCAACATCACTAGAATGTCGCTCTTTGTAATTCCGGAATTCGCAGGCTCTGCTGACCGAGATCGAAATCCCTGGAGGGAACGGGGAAACGGGGATCCCCCTGGTCAAGATAGTCAAAAGTGCGTCCAACTCCTCGGGCCAGATGGCTAATTCATCCGACCCGAACCAGCAGCAGCAGCACGTCTAGAGACGAAGAAAAAAATAAAACCGAGCATCTTTTTTCTCCTCGACCCCTCAATCTTGCTAGGGGGGGGGCATCCAGGAGGAGATCTTCGTCGCATGGAAAATGAATGACGAGGGCCGGACGAGAAATCGTGGGGGCAGAAAACATTGCTCGACCCCGCCGCCGGGGGGTTATTCTCTCCACTCACCCACCATGCACCCGTCAACCCCCTCGACTCGATCCTGCTCTCGTATATACGTCCTCAACGCATGTTTCACGCACGAGGAACGCAAAAAATATAAATAAAAAGGGCACGTGCCTGCGGAGTCAGGGATGCGGACTAAGAAACTGACCTTTTCTTCCTGCTGAGGGGGTTACGAAGGGTTCTCAATTATAAAAAAAACACATCGCGAGTCAAGCCGACATCTGTGTTGAAGGGTTCTTTTATTTATTTATTTTTCAAATTCATTTCTTTAATGGGAATCGCAGTTTTTCAGAAGGGAAGCATCAGGGAACATTTTCGGCTTCTTTTCACTTCCACGCCGGGTCATACTTTCTGGGAAGACAGGCAGCTTTGTCACCTTGAATAACCCCCAAAAAAGCCTATCTGAAGGTAAACCAGCCGAACCTAAGGTAACCAACACAAATTGACGATGAATAGATTCCTCAGAAGTTTAATCACACCTTGGAATTAATTTCTAAAAACTGTAATTACTATGGTTCTTCTGTTGAATTCTCCAAAGTGCCTTGGATTAATTTCCAATCCCTAATTTTCCAGATTTCCAATATATTATATATCTCCTGCAACCCTGACTTAAGTGGCCTATTTTTCTACCTCTTGAATAAGCCTGCAGACTTCTCATTCAGCATCTTTATTGAAAATACTTTTCGTAAGATCATAAACTCATATATTTAATTTTTGGGACCTACTCACTGGCCGGGAAGATTCCTCAAATCAGTGAAACATTATGTCTTAAAACATCAACAATTCCCATAAGTAATTTTAGATAAATCGGATTTACTCACATGTCCATTTTCTGTCTTGGAATTTCAAACTGATCGCGTGAAAATTATAAAATTTATCAGGAAATTATGATATATTGCAGTATCACGGTTCGAAATTACGTATTTTTGAACAAATAAACTTAAAAATGCCAACATATTCTGTTTGGAAACCAGCAGAGAATATGACTGATCATCTGCAGCCATCAGCTACGCTTTCCCGAACTCCAATCGGATTTATCTCTGCTGGGATTAATCTTCCGATGGCGCGTATTCTGATCCGATACCTAGAGAAAATTTATTTTTTCAGCAACCACGGAAACCATTTTTTTCCTCACTCATTATTGCGTGAAAAGAAAAAAACGAAATGATTGACTGACTAATGAGTCATGGGGGTATAAGAGCGTGAAAACGAGGTCCCTTTTTCTCTGGAATCCCTCTTTTAGAGACGGATCGGCTGGGGGATGAGTTCTGTTTCGGTTTCACGGGTTTTTTATGCTGAAGGATTTCCTCATTCCCCCCTGGTTAACAGATGGCAGCAGAGGGATGGAAATTAATTTTCTCCACTTTTCGCACGCGTGCCACTCAGAAAACATATGCGGTGGGTAGAAAAGTCGGGTTTCGGGTCAGCGTGTCAGGGAAAGGAAAATGAGGATGTACTGCGAATGTGACGCGACGCGACCGACGCGACGCGACACGACGCGAATGCGTCACGCAAAAAAAAACATATTCTTTTTTTACGTGTCTTACATGCGGCTTTGACTACGACACTTGACAGTAAAAAAAAAAAATGAGTATCTGCGATACCTGGGAAAAAGGTGCGCAGTTGCCAAATGTTTCCAGCGAGTTGTTGCCTGGGGAATTGCGAAGTTGCATTATTAATGTCTTGTCAGGAAAAGGAGGAGATGAAGAAAGAAACAAAACAAAAAAGGGGAATTGAAAAGCGTACGTTGAAAAGCGAGTTTTCAGCAGGCTCACTCTGTTTTTTTTTTTCTTTCGCATGTATAATGCGTGTATCGAAACTCACACACACACACACACATACACATACACTCAAAAAAGAAAGTCTTTTTTTTTCTTCCATTTCCGAAATCCTCGCCAACGTGTTCATGCAAAATTGAAACCGACGGGGATAATGGAAGACGATCTCTGAATCTTTTATCGGCGGAAAATGTTTCGCATTCCTTCGCGGATTTCGAAGCCTCCGCGGTTGAAGAATGCGAATATGCGGAAAATTGCTGCTCGCGCGTGTTTTTCGATGATTGTCGATGTTCATTTTTGCGGAAAAAATGAGAAGAGCAGAAAATGAAGAAAAAGGATGTGTTGGATGGATGGATGGTTTTCTATACTGCCAACTGGGTGTTTGCTTTCCTCAAAAGGTTTGCAACTAAGAAGGAAGAAAAAAAAATCCACACAAAATAACGATTGTGTTCCTTGAATGTCGAGCGCATTCCGCATTCTCGTTGATCTTCGTTTTTGGGTTTTTGTATTTGGAAGCTACGCGTGTTTTTGATGGACGAAAAGCTGGAATATGGCCCCGTGAAGTTGATTTATGGTGTGGAAAATATACTGATTCAGACGAGAAAAAAATGTCGTTTCATTGCTTGACCCTTGGCTGCTGCGGGACTATCAATCACATAAATGACTCTGTGAACAAATTAAAGTGTTGTATTATACGTCAGTGACACGGAGTCTCAGCTATCTAAGGAAAAGTTATGCTTTAGCTTAGATTTTAAGCTGAATCATTAATTTTTGGCAATGAGCTATTGATTGTAAAGCAGGGGTTTAGGTTCAAGAAGTCTCTCTTTAAAAAATAAGGTTTCTAAGTGCTGTAATTCATGCAGAATGAATACATTGGTTGGTGCATCACCAAAGAACTTTCTCTTTGTATGCCTAGCATTGCATACTGATACAAATGAGCTAAAGAAAGATTTACAAATAATGGAATTCAATGAAGAGGCCATTTTTGAAATCATAGAGGATCAAGATAAACTGTTGGCCTTATATGATTCTCATCAAAGATTCTCTCGAAACTTTTTATTCAACTAAACCTTATCTGGGAACAGGCAAAAGACCTTGTGCTTTAAACTGGGTTCAGTAACTGCTGCAATTGCTATAATTCTGGCTTATATATGCTGCAATTTGTAGTATATTGCTGATATTTTTATCTTCAACGTCAGGGAAAGAAGGGATGTACACATACAAATCAGTTGTGCAGTCATACATTTTGGAATGTATTTTTGTTCGTTTTGGTATCCATATGCAGCTTTTGTCTCTGTTTCCCATTCTGAAGTGATTGAATGTGTTTGAATGGATTTGGGTTGGGAGGGGGTTTGGATTTGGGAATGTTAATTGAACCATGTGAATGATGAAAAGCGGAAAATAAAAGCTCTATGTTCATTCATTCGTTCTAAAATAAGGTTTCAATTGAAAACCCAGAGTTTTCTCGAATAGGCGTTGAATGAAAACAAGGTCGCACGATTTTTTTTTTTACATAGATCACTATAACCGCTTCATTTTTTTTAAAGCAAAGCTCTTAGTGCACCATCCTTCGCAAAAGGCCTAAGCAGCAATAAAAATAAAAGTTTGGCTGGTCTTCGGAGGATAAAAACCAGAAATACTGAAATAAATGACAAAAAAAGAGATCAAGGGTCGGAAGTCCTCGTGAAGTTTTCCATTCGTGTCAATGGCGAGGCTCATCCGCTATATAAGCGGGACCGCTTAATTCCTCGCCTCTGCACCGGTTGGTTTAATCCGACGTAACTTGGCAAACTTTTCAATATGAGTCGAGAGGCTCAAACCCGTCACCATGCTGCTCCAGCACACAATAAAGAGCTTTCTATGCGAGTTCTGTTCTGTTCTCTTCTGTTCTGTGTGGCGTGCAAGTGTTCGTTTGGCTGCTTTTATTGTCCAAAACGGCGAAATATAAGGGAAATTCGAATAAGCCAGCATGTGTATGTGCCAAATGTAAGCCATATATTCCTCGAAATTTATCCCTCGAATGCCGGGACGCGCGGAGACGAAATTTTCCGTCGGCATGCAGATTGTACGCAAGCAATTTTGCCGTCTATATATATGCAGCCGTCTTCTTTTTCGTGTTTCGTCTTGCTCGTCATCGGAATCCCCAGCACAGCTCTTTGAAAGCATAATAACGGCTCAAATTATGGCCCTGTTTTTTTTCATCATACGAACACGCGTGAGCGATTTCCAAATCCCGAAAATATGACCGCAAAGCATCACACTTCGCACAACGGAATATAATGCGTTCATGCACGCATTATTCCTCGACTTTGTTTTTTGAACAGAATGAAGCCGGTTGAATTTTTCTTGGTAATATCGCGAATATTGTGAGGTTGATGTTTGCGTATTTCTTATTTCCTTCTGGACAGGGTGCGCCAGAAATTTTGACAGATTTTCAGACTGGAATATACGCTCAATTATTTAGTTGGTTGAATTTCCAAACACAGCACGCACAAGTGCATTCAAAATTTTTTGTTTCAAATTTAATGATTCTTGTAACCTTTCTTCGTAGATTTTTACGAGTACAGCGCCAATAAGTTGAAAAATCTGAAAAGAAATTTATTACGTTTTCTCCAGGTTGGAAAAGATTTGTTTGAGGTTGTCCTATTTTTCAGCACCAGTGATTCGAGGTATAAAAATTTCTTCTTCCATTTGAATCGTGTAAATTATTTCCTGGTTATCCAAAAATATCTGGTGAGCAATACTATCTTTTCAGGGTTCTCGGAGAATTTATTTCCAAAATTTCACGGTGAAAAATATGTAGCTAAAAATATTCTTTTTTTCGAGTGCTTACATCGAATTATTTCAAAATATTATTTCGTAAGAGTTCGTCTCCTTTCCTGATTAAACCATTATGCAAGGTATACCGAAAATTTCAGATTGATGATGAGAAAGCAAGTATTCGTGAAAGGTGTAACTTAATAACTTTTATTTTAAAAAAATACCTCGGAATGCTTAAAAAAATATAGCTCGTGCATTAATCACGCATGAAGTACCCGCGAAACCCTGTCTCTCGTCCCACTTCTACAGCAAACGAGCTACAAGCCAATGCAGAAAAAAATAATATTTACTCTGAAAATGTAACGTTCGTGTTTAATGTTTCTGTCATTCCCGTATCACATCAAAACTGTAAGACGAGGACATAAGACGAAACAGGTGCAAAGTGTATAAAAAACTCCTCTATACATGTGATGTGACATATTCAGACGTCGGTGAAAATTCTCCTCACCGCTGATCCAGTTAATGCGAGCCTGATGGAGCGGGGCAGACTGTGGGAAGTCTGCACGGGGATTTGCATCTATATTTAATGCTACGGCGCCATTAATGCTAATGAAGTCGCAAAGCGTATATATAGTCGCTCGAGCAAGATTTTGCAGTAAAAAAACGAGGCGACTCAAGGAAGATCTTCTTTAGATTATGTTAGAACGCACATCACTGAATTCATGAGTTCATGATGGCAAGGTCGGATGATGATTTGATGTATGTCCGGTTGATGGACGTGCTGGAAAACTCGTTACTCTCAGAGAATTGCGCAATTTTCGAACGAACTTCGCAGAGAAAACGGCTGCTAAACAAAACTGGACGATTCAACTCGGGGAAGAAAATATTCATATTTCCGGGCTAACGCATATATGCAAAAGCATTAAAAAGCAAGTCCATTCATATTAATTCTAAATCGGATTCCTAACAACTGTTTTATACTGTAATTTTGTTACCAGCACGCATTTGAAAAAAACTAACTCAGAAGAAAAAGATAGTTCATTTTTTCTGAAGTGCGATGAAGAGGTTTGTTTTAAATCTGTCCTTTAATTTCGTCCTGTCTCTTTATACTAACCACGAAAATTCAGCCCGCAAAACAAATCCTCAACTTATTCTTTAGATAGATTATTCCGGGTTGCCATTCGTTTCGTCGATTCGTAAAAATATGATTTGGAAGAAAAATTGAGTAGTTTTCGGTATTTTTGTCCAGTCCTCCAGTCCAAATTCAGCTGTACGTCGAAAAATATTTTTCCGTGCGTTCGAAGAAAGTTTTGCTTAAGGAAACTCATGTTCTGAAAATATTTTCCAAAGATCAGTCCCGCGGATCATCGATTATGCTCTCCGGCTTCGAATACGTGTGAACCAACAATATCTGGCTTTAATTTTGAGCACCTTGCTTGAGCTGAACTTTAGAGTATTTTATTGTATTCATTCGTCCACAAAAGCGGATAATGCGTAGGAGTGAGACATTTTGGTTCCTCTGGTAGACAGGAATAAGTTGAAGAAAAAACATTTGAATCGGATTCAAAGTTATCACGGCGAAGAATAAGTAAAGTATCATATACCCAGATCCAGCCCAGAGATCAAAGGTTTCTATATACCGGCTTGTCTATATGGAAGCGGAAGAGCTTCTTTCACGGCAATATAAGAAGCCTCTGGAAGTTTCCGGCTTTTGCTCTTCTTCGAATGACGAGAAAAAGTCTAAAAAAGAACTTCCACATTTCTTGGGAAAGAATTTTCCTCATTTCCATACCTTGACATTCAAACGGGGATGAGACTCAACCTTACAGGTCGTTTATTATTCATATACAGGTATAAGGACGCGTTATAAGGCTTTATATATTTGCAGGTCAAAATTATATTCAAAAATTGTTAAGTATCACAAAAAAATTTAATCCAGAACAAGAATAAATTCAATCATTTTTTTAGACACATCTCGCAATTTTTTATGGCGATAATATATGCCGAAGAACAGACGAAGAGAATGGAAGAGGGCTTTTGAGTTTTCGATTAAGGCAAGGAATTAAGACAAGTTCTCTCATAATCTGTTGATGTTTGACACACTTGAATGGCATTTCAACAAGCGCCAATCCAGAAATAAAATAAACGATTCTTGTGAATTTTCAGTAGATCAAGAGCTAAGTCCGAACCCCCATAATTGACAATTTCCCCGTGGACCTTTTTTTTTTGCACAATCAGCAGGGACATTTTTAAAGTGAGATTTTCAACGATATATAGATGGTTTCTTCTTAGTGACATGAATCATCGCATTATCCTTGGTTACAAGAATCTCACGACGATGATTTGATGAAAATGCAGTGGACGCGGTCGTGTTCATAAACGCGACGACTGACGTTTAGCGACACCTAGACAAAAGTTGTAAAACATGGCAGCCAGCAATCTTCCCGTCCTGTCCGCCTCGATGACGGGGTTGAATTCGGAAGTGTCGAACGCAACGACGATGTCCCTGCTTCCGGATTCCCAGCAAATTGACAAGGCCTCCTCGGCAGTCAGTCCAACTGCAGACGGGCAACTCACTCCGGGACAATCAGCAGACCGAATGGCATCGATGTCGAAGGACACCAATGCGTTCACCTTCACATTTGGCGAGAGAAAAGACAAAAAAAATAAGGCAGCGGTACAGCATGATGCTTGTTCAAAGAGAATGCAGATTTTCTTTTGCAACACAGGCGGGTTCGAAAGTTCAGGGCGCGTTTTATGCAGTATGTATTCGATTTTACAATCCAAGTTTAAAAGCTATCTCAGACGCACATGAAAAGCGCACTTGTTACCATAAAAAAAAAATTGTAGAAGGAATATGCATGAATTATTGAAAATTCGGCTGAACGACTGATTAACAATACGAATTTCGATTCAACTGAACCAAATTTCCGGCGGAAGAGCGCCAAACGATTTAATTCAAATACTTTATATGACTTTGGGATAATGTAGACATATGACGCAATAAAAGACGTCTTCCATTGCACGTAGAATTGTTTCCCTCTAAATGCAGAAAAATTACAAGAGTAGTAGAATAAAAATACTTGAGTTACCACATACCAAGTCGAAAAGATGAATTCGTTCCTCTCCTACAGCATTCAACTTTTTATATACACTCATGGACATATTTTGAAAAGTAATTTCAATGTCCTGCCTTTTTAGGGGTTTTATCGTGATTCCTATATCCCATCCCTATAATTCTTTCAGGGTGCTATAGTTAATACAGGTGGAATCTTTCCTTATAAATATCTTATCTACAACGATATTCTCTGTATAACGCATATTTTTTGGCCTCAAAGGGTTCTCTCATATCTTATATGAGTTTTCTACAACGTATTTTTTTCTGTTTCCTCGCATTTCGTTGCAAAGAAAATCCACCTGGAATAAGTTGGATTAAAATTGTCATTTTTTGGATGACTAATAACGTATTGGTGGCCTATTTTTTCCATGTACTGTACTGTATATATAGGTACTTAAATTCATTTCTTATTTTTTGCTGTCGCTGCCCGGAATTCAATTTCAAAAATTTGAGAACCTTCACAATTCTACAAAAATAAATACTCATGGACGCACGCGTCCGTATTTCAAAATAATTGGGGTTATTTTCCAACCCAGCTTGTTTGCAGTAAGGCGGCATCTTGAGGTTGCTATATAGAGTCTTCTGAGGCCTGTACACGAAAAGAAGAACAAAATCCATCAATTATCTCACCTTCAGTCCGAAGCTGTCCAAAACGCCGCGAAATCGAGACAACGCCAGACTCATGGGTGCGATTCCACCGCGAAGCTCGTTGAGCCAAACAATTCGTCCTCCGTTATCCCTAACGAATGTGGCGTGTTCTTTCGAGCACTGACTCCCCTGAGCACCGTATTCCACGAACTGGTTCCTGTCGCCGTCAGTGTCAGTGCCTTCAATAGACTGGAATGCTGGATCCCTTAGCAAGAGATGAAATGGACTACCCGAATGCCTCAGTTCCAAATTTCTAAAAAAAAAAAAAAACAATGCATAACATGTATCAAATGTCTTGAACTGTGAAGTTTAGCGTTGAAACATGGACGATGAGGCTCCATCGATCGTCAGAGGAGGCACTGCTGTGCCTATAAATAATGCAGGTATAAATTTCCACGCAACCGTGCTTGGGATGAGCTTTCAGTACACTTGAGATCATTAAAAAAAGATATGTCCTGTTATTATAATTATTCTCAGTTGATAGTTTGACCTTCTCAGACACTTACGAGCTAAATTGGAATTTCCATTCCTGTGCCCTCTATTTAAAATGATAGCTGGAGATGGTTTATTTAAATATCAAGCTAAAATAAGATTTTAAAAATCTCTTCGTCCGAAGAATTCTGAAGACAGAAATATCGGAAGCAATCAAGAATTGCGGCATCAAATTTTAGGTGCAAGCAAGCGTAAAACGAGTTTATACTAGCTTTTGGTAACGATTTTTTTTGGACAGAAAAGCACCATCATGCACATGAATAAAAATGAACTAAATCTCTATGTGCAAATACAGTACTTATGAAATCAAAGTACAGTATTCCCAGTAGTTATCGATGGAATATTACATTCATGAGAATTCCGTCTTTTTTTCCCCTGCTCTTTACTAATTTCGGAAAACTTGAACTAACTCTGCTTCCCTTCGACAATGTTTGGGAAAAGCAGCTTTTTTACACTCTCAAAATTTTCATTGAAGTATAAGCAGTTTCAAGGCCGATAGCAGACTATTTTGGTTAAAAAACCAATTTTGTCCATTTTAATGATTTTTAGGGGTTACGTGGTCTTCTATTTGGAAATTAGATGATTTAATGGACATATGATGATTTGGCAAGGAATGGCATTGAAGTGGTTTATTAGAGTACGAAAATTTGAGAGAGAAATCTTGTTACTGTAAACAAGGCCTTCACAGGTTTTCGTGATTTCTGCGGAATTTTCATGCTTCAAATATTTCATCCTGATGAATGAGCTTTGCAAGATTCCTCGAAAATCTGAAAATGTCTTCTTAACTTATTGTGAGTTGAATTCTTCAGATAGCATGTCAAAACTTGGTTAATGAAGAGCAATCATGTCTAAATTGTTGTCCAGTGTCAACAGTTTCCACTTCTAACATTCTGATCACAAGTCGAAAGAAAGGAAAATATTTTTGTGCTATTATGTATATTTAAAACTCAAAATGTCATTTGCAAATGTAATTTTGAGAGTTTTTTTCTGGTTTTTTTTTGTCTTAGATTTTCCCTTCCTTGGACTTATTTAATACGGTGAAATTAATATGGTAATTGCAGGGAAGCTCTTGTCTTTTTCAAAAAGAAACGAATCAACTCTTCATAAGTAATTAACGTACTGCAAGTTTTTTTTTTTTATTCGGTCACTGAAAAACACGTCACATGAACAAATGACCACACTTGGTGAGAATGATATTTTTTCTTTTACCAAGCACTGCTGCATCAAGAATGTCTATTTATGGTGACAGGCATAAATGCGATACTAAAATTTACCTCTGGTTTTCGGCGGCAAGAAACGCATTTCCCCCTTTATTTCCCGTTACTTAATTCAGTCGCGACGGACGACAAGGAAAATGCGTCGCATGCAAATATAAACGAAGCTCACTTGGTGTGATTGAGGTGGTTTTTTTTGTGTGTGTGTGTATTTTCTCGTTGTGGAAGCCCTCCTGCGCCATGAATGTCTATTTAAATTGACAGACGCGCGATAAACTCGCCTCTGGTCGCCGCCTGCTCCAACGGACACGTTAATCAACGGCCGGACGTCGAGATGCGCGTCGATGTTGACGACGCCGATAAAATCTTTCCCACCCATGGCAAACTTATTGTCCCTGACGTGTTCAACCACCGCCATGGCCACTGCGTAGCTCTGGTCGTTGCCGCCGCCGACGACGAACGGGATCATGCGGCGGCTCAAGGCCCAGCGGGAATACCGCTTGATTTCGGCGTGAAATCCGACCAGCTCGTCTTGGTCGTCGTCGGGACCTCGGTTAGCAGAGAAATTCGGAACCGGAACATCGCCCAGATCGAAGATGAGAATGGCCTGCTTCAAGTCGATTTCGAATTCCGGGTTCTCCAGTGTTCCTGTTCTGGCAAGGATGCGTCGGAAAACTGATGGACCCTGTTGGGCTCCCGGGCGACCGTTGTTTCTTTTCACGCCTGCGAATAAATTGATGGCGAAGAAAAATCTGCCTTCAAGCCAACGTCACACTAAATGAAGAAAAAAAAAGTCTTGAAAGGCTGTCAATGCCACACATGTTAGGGTTTCATCGTGGTTTTTTGTTCTTCTTCTTTTAAAATCTTCGCGTAATTTTTCACACCGTTATGTAATCGATTACATTTTCTGTCCGTGCTTCACATTTTGTTTGCCCATGTAGGAATGGAGCTAGAATTGCACCCTTAAATAAAATGGAAATACAGTACGATTAGCCTTCCGAAGTTTCATGCATAAATGTGCAGTAGTGATTCCATGGTTGCCACGAGATAGTTAAAATACCGTGATTGAAGCAAGTTTTCAGCCAACTTTTTTTCAAATCTGCAAACCATCTTTCAATAAAAAAGTATAACGATCGTGAAAATATTTGAATTGATGGTCATGCTGAATGCGAATTTCCGCAAAATTTAAAGTGGTGACGATCAAGAACTTCCAAAAAAAAAAAAGAACGACAACTGAAGAAACCTTAAGAAAATCAAAGCACGAATTTAAATCAATGGTGGTTGATATTGTGAGTGCCAAAAAACTTCCTGCGTCTACTGATAAGCATTTTGAATTATCTTTGATCACTTTGGCACCTGTGATCACAAATATATTCGTTCAACATTGAACATAACATAAATAAAAAGTTTACTTTTGCAAATTCAACCTCAAGCTCAAACATCATGTTGCAATTTTTTCAGCAAATTTTCAAGCATCTATAATAATGGAGAATTTTTTTTTATTTGTTGAGTGAAAAAATTACTGCACTCTCTGCAGTGAACACGAAGAATTGAAGAGTTGAATTCTTATAAAAAGGTGGGCCGGGGAAAATATTTAAATGAATAAGCAAAGCATCTCCGGATTTGAGTTTTAAAAAAGATTGCAGTTTAAACTTCATGGCATCTAAAGGGGGATGCATCTCAATTTTCCCTTGGCTCCTATTTTTTATTTAGTCCTGATTCGTCCTTGACCTCACCTTCATCACAGGGAACTCCAATTATTGCGATTTTTGCTTTCCTGGATGCGAGTATTTCAGCTTCTTCTTCCTCAGTCAATGTATCGATTTCAATCGATCGAACAAGATCCCCAATTCGCTCGTCCCCGGTTTTCGACATTTCCGCGAAAATTTCAAATCCTGGATCCTGAACTTGGATAAAATTGTTCTCAAAGATGTTCCGCCTTTTGAGTTTTTATCAATGATTATTTTCCCTTTAATGACCTGTTGCTACAAAGGAAATTTAGAGAACAATGTAAGTTAATATTCTCCGCAGTTTTCAATAAAGAATAACACATATAAATGCGTCAATTCCTTTACCTTAGCTGAACTATGCAGTTGAAGAAATTGCAGTATTTTTTGCCAAATATATAATGAATTCAGTCTTTTATATCATTGTCTTCCATTATTCTTCAGAAAATGTACACCACGCTATACAAATTCGGGTTCCTAAATTTCAATATTGAAATTTGATTTGACCATCAATTATAGTGAGAGTCACAGCGTTTTCCCCTATAATCAAGGTACTTATGAACCTATCAAACTATTTTCTACTTATTGCTCAAGTAACAATCCGGTATTTTCCACAAGAAACGACCAGTGACAAAATTACAAGCCCAACTGAAGCTCACGAGATTTAAAAAAAAAGCACAGAGTAGATCCTTTCTCCCGAACAATTTTCATTATCTCGAACCAAGAAACAAAAAACTAGAGGAGCAAAACGCTGCAAATTCAAACATGGAAAGAAGATAATTGATAGAAAAATATCCTAGGTTTTCACACTGTCCTGGCATGCTCAAAATCCATCAAATTCCTTCATCCGGTAATTTTGCAAACTTCTTCAGAATTTCTCAAATTCAGAGAAAATCCATGTCTTCGTATTTTTTGAAATAATAAAAAAATGCTGAAGCTTTTATTTGCAAACCAAGATAGTAGAGAAGATTATAATTGTATCAGTGTTGAAGGGAAAAGTGAAATGCGTTTTCCTCAAGCAGGAGGAATCTCTGATAGCAATGTCACGCCTCATTCCACAAAGACACATTTTGCGAATATTCTGAATTAGCACACAAGAATCTATTGAATGATCAAGCTGAACTCGTGTGGGTTCCACCCCAAACTGGCCAAGATACCATGGCAACTGACGCAATCCCGTTCCACCAGAGGTTTGTGTACCTTATCAATCCAGCGGGATCAGACAATCAAATAAATAGTAAAACAAAAAGAAAAAAACACTGAAGCAAGTCCCTCGCAGCCCACTTCGTTGACACAAGTATCATAATAAGATTGATAAATAAGCTCTGATATGCGAGATGGTAGTCGGTAATGAACCAGTCTTTTTCGCTCAATTGACGCGTTGCGATATCGTCGAAGAATCGTTTCGGAATTCTCGATTGCCACGTCGTTGGATCGGATTTCACACGACTGTTTGCGTTCGCACGAAACCGACCCTCTTCATTCCAATGCCCCTCATATCCGCGTCAATGTGAAACCACTAAGCTGATAACATCCCGTCCTGCTGTACAGTATGTACCACGACACTTCGTCAATGTCACCATTTGAATGTTTGCGTACAGAATTGTACATGCCCTGAACTAAATAAAAAAGAAGACCAGAACTGATCGAATCGCATAAATTCACGAGATTTTTTTTATGTGTAAATATTCAACTGTTCCATTATAATTGAGTTGATTCCGACAGAGTCGAGTCCGTGAGAAAGGCAGGCCTGTCTGACGGTGAATTGCGTAAAACAGACGTACAGTACCTCACATTAAAAAACTGAAAAGCTGTTCAATTCCGTATTATATTTCTCCCCTAGATGTCGCACAATCTTTGCTGACGAGTCATAATACTGCATAGGTCTGATTCTACTCGACTTCAGCTTGGATGATGTTGAACCGCAATCGGCCATGTCTTGATGTCTGCTATGCTGTACAGTACCTTGCTTCCATATTCAGTTGCATCGTCTCTTATTCGGTCAAGAATCGGGACGGCTGCTCATTGAATAACCTGGTAAAATCGCTTACAAGCTGATTAGTGTATTTTATGGGCAGACAGAAGGAGTAGAGGGAATAATTTGCATCATATATTAGGTTTTTTGACTTGCGAAAGAGATGAGCAATGCTGTGAGAAATGGTTCGCGATTTTTTTGGAATTGTTAATTACCTTACTCCCGCCAACTGAAGATGTTTCATTATTTCTGAATATAACACCATGGACTCGAAAAAAGCTTAACCTGAAGTGTGATGAAGAATTAAGACGGCAAGAGGTACATTTTCTAGCCTTTCAAAACAAATATGATGCATTTTCCTATTTAAAAATTCGTCGTTTTTCATGCTCGGTACAATATTGTCGAAGAGGCGTTTTCTTCTTCATAAGAATTTGAAGTAAATACATGATTATTCTGAGATTTTATCGATGAAGGATAGAAATCGAAAGACAGATTTTTTTCTTTCGTAAAATATTAGTATGATATAGTCATCCAGTCATCCTACATTTTACTGCAACTTGCTGGCTATACTACATGTATACATAGAACGCGATTCTACATTTGCATCAGAATTAAAAACGGGCAGTACAGTATTTTAAAACAAAATTCTTCGAAAAATTTAGTCTACTACTCTACTGGGGATTAACCGTCCAATTGAAGATTTACTCGAATATCTTTTAAATCAGTAATCGCGGGCATTCCTGCAATAAACGTGTTCTTTTCATACCAATTAAAGTGAATGTACAAAACGGAATCTCATTAAAAAAATGAACGATCTTCAATGTGTTTATCTTTTTTTCTTCCAACAGTTCAGGGAATATTGTCGTTCAAAATCTTACGCATTTTCAAGATCACGTTTCAGTGTTCTCTTTCATTTTTCTACGTTCAAATATTGTCAGCAGCAAGCATGGGATAAAAATGAAACAGGAATTTGATGAGAAATCGGGCAACTCAGTGTATTTGAAAGCTGCCAAGGTCGATCGTCCAACGCATAGGCAATGTACAATTATTTCCCAACGCAGTCACCGTGGAAAATATGATAATCACGGTCACATGCGAAAAACCAGCGAAAATAAAGCGACGTCAAAAGGCGTGCAAAATCGCGCGCCTCATGGCCAATTGTTTCACATCGTATTCATTGCCATGTAAAAAAAAAGAACAAAAATAAAATCGCACACACTATTACACAGTGAACAAAGTACGTGGATGTGAATCGCGGTTACGTTTCATGCACCATCTCGGATGCATCGCGATGAGTCAGAAAAAGAAAAAAACGTATTCCCTCTCCATCGAATCTAACTTTCGAACACACTCGTACAATTTTGCTACGAACATTCACATCATGACAATTTCACATGTACTCCATGTGTCAAATTTTACCACGCATCAGATCACGATAAAATTTCCCCTTCGTTTTAGGTTAGATTTTTCTTTCGAGCATCGATTCAATTCAAGACTGCCGTCTTTAAAAAAAAAAGAAAATAAGTCTGAGGCTTTTTGCCAAGCCAAAAAATCACCTCTGAACGCTTCGAATTTTCTTTCATTTTTCAATCCGAAAAACCTTTTTGGCAATTGAAACAAAATAAAGTAAATGTAACGCAGGTAACCTTCATCGATCAGATCATTGCTGATCAGTTGGCAGTCTAGAATGCAACGACTACGTCTCTGCTCTGAGCATTCATTAGCATAACTAATTTCAAGCAAAAAGTAACGCGTTTTTCAGTCAGATTTGAAAAATGAAAAGGACCGGGTAAGTGAATTGAAATTTTGCGCGTCGCTGTCTTTTGTTTCGCATTTTACCCAAGAAATTTATAGGAAAAAATAATTTAGATTAGAAGGCATTCCGATAGGAGTAAAAAGGCCTAAAGAGCTTGTTTCAAATTTCTCAACATGATGCCCGTCTTCTGCACTGATTCATAAAAATTACACTTCATTTTTATCTAATTTGAGTGGCGAATTCTGATCAATTTAAAGCAAGTTAGTGATATGAGAAATGTCTGTAATAATTTATTTCCTTTATGTCCTATCTACGCTTGAGAATTTTAATCACAATTATTTTTGGCAACCGAAATTTTAAAATACAGTACTGCACTGTATTCAAATAAATTACTCGTCAATCCATCATCAGATGGTAGGGTTCTGACAAGGACGGCTTTCGGATTGAGTGATCGATCAAAAAATCAATAAAAATATTAAAAATATACGTTAAATTGTCGTGTCAAACAAATATTTACCTGGTGAGAGTGAAAACCAAGTAGGAAGTGAAAAAGAATCCCAAAACGGCGCTACAAAATTCATATGACTTCAAAACTTTACATGATATCATAAACCGTTGATGTTTTGCGTAGATAAAAACCAATAAAAAGGCGCACAAGTTAGTGGGACTTCACGTAATTCAAATCTAAATTTTGTGGCGAACTACTGCATTGTTATTTCATCTATGAAATGGAATACAAATCAACTTTCAACGCTTGTGAATCTGCGTACGCTTGAATATGAACCTATTTGGTTATTCGTGATCAATGCATTGTTTCAGAAGAAAAAAAGTCTCTCAAAAGATGACTACAATATTTTGCAATTCACTCGCAGAATTTCGATAAAAATTTAAAACCAGCTTCGATAGACGGGGGAAATAGCTTCAGAAGGCCACGACATAACTGTACACACACGCAAGAAAGTTGAATTCGAAATATAGTGACAGATTTAGGAATATTCGGTCATGGCAACACCGCGAACGTCAGGAACACTGGCACTGTTTCCCCGCGGTCTGAACATGGCCCACATCATCGAGCCCCTCGGCGCAAAAATCGGCATCTGCGGTCCTCCTGCTCCACCCACTGCAGACGCCACAGCGCCGCCAGCAGCAGACGCCATCGGCGCCCCGTGAAACACAGGAGACGGCAAATTAAACCTGCCGTGCACGGGTATCCCTCCTGCCAGGCTGCTCCTACTGCCCGGCAACCCAGCATCCAAGACCAACTGGGACTGGCTCCTTCCTAGAAACCCTCCGCCGATCCCCGGGAATACGAATTGAGCCTCGTGCTGAGGACTGAACTGGTGCTGGCGCCGCAACAAAGACGCCACTCCTCGTCCCCCGGGAAACCCAAACTTTTTCCCGTTCTGTATCTGCACGCGAGGCGGCGGCGCCGCCTGCTGTTGCTGCTGCTCCAAGTCCGCCGAAAACATCCGCTTTGGACGCGATGTCGGCCGGAAGTTCATCGGCATGTAAGGCGGCGTGAAGTGATGGT